CTGCCACCATGTGGAAAACACAAGAAAGCACAACTGGATTCTCATGAGACATTTCCATAGAGCGACTGAGGGGGAGGGATTGTTTTGCTGTTGTGTTTTGAGGCCACATGGGATCAGTTAGCTCAGTTGGTGGACAGTTAGCTTGCATTGCCACACTTGGAATATTGAGTACTGTTCTGGTCACCACACTACCAGAAGGATGTGGATGCTTTGGAGAGGGTACAGAAAAGATTTACCAGGGTGTTCGTGGTTCTGAGGAAGGGTCACCGGACCTGAAACGTTAACTCTGCTTTTTCCTTCACAGATGCTGCCAGACCTGCTGAACTTTTCCAGCAACTTTGTTTTTGTTACCAGGATGTTGCCTGGAATAGGGGATTTTAGCTATGAAGAAAGTTTCGATAGACTGGGTTTGTTTTCACTGGAATGCAGGAGATTGAGGGGCGACCTGATCGGAGTTTATAAGACTGTGCATGGCATGGATAAAGTGGAAAGTATGAGGTTTTTTCCCAGGGTGGAGGGATCAATTACTAGGGGACACAGGTTCAAGGTGTGAGGGGGAAAGTTTAAAAGAGATGTGTGAGGCAGGTTTCTACACAAAGGGCGATGAGTGCCAGGAAGGTGCTACCAGAGGAGGTGGTGGAAGTAGACATAATACCAGCATTCAGGAAGCACCTGGATGAAAACATGAATAGGAAGGGAATACAGGGATACGGGTCCCATATATGAAGACGGTTTTAGCATGGAAGAGCAAAATGTGTTGGTGCAGGCTCAGAGGGCCGAAAGGCCTGTCCCTGTGCTGTATTATTCATTGTTCTCTTTGTTCTTTGTTCAGTGCAGGTTCAATTCCCACACTGGCAGAGGTCACCATGAGGCCTGCTGACCCTCAGGTTAAACCACCACCAATCACCTCTGTCTAATGAGAGAGCAGCCCTACGGTCTAGTGAGATTATGGTGATTTTATTTTATCATAGAGACAATTACAGCTTTAAGATGAAGAGCTGAGACTTATTGAAACAGCTGAAAAATCTCCAGATCTCCAGTCTGTGCTTATAGATTTGAGTTTGACTAAATGTATTATAAAAGCAGTCAACCCCCACCCCACCCCGCAAGTGTCAACACACATGGGCTTTAATCACCTGACTAGACACCAATCAGCTGCTTTTTACTATGCTGAGCCCTCTTGAGCCAACAACAATTGGTTCCAATTGAAATTGAAAGACTGTCTTTTGGCAACCCTTCCCTGAAAACCTACATACAAACACTAGAGCTCTCCCTCACTGCTTGAATAAGGCAGCATTGAGGATACAACTCTGAATGTTTTCCCATAACTTGTTTTCAAAACTGCAAACTTCTTGTTCCACAGCTTCCTGAGTGTAAAGCCATATCTTTACCCACTTGGGGAAGCTAGGGAAGTGATCGCTGGGTCCCTTGCTGAGATGTTTGTATCATCAACAACCATAGGTGAGGTGCCAGAAGACTGGAGGTTGGTTAACGTGGTGCCACAATTTAAGAAAGATGGTAAGGAAAAGCCAGGGAACTATAGAGCAGTGAGCCTGACATTGGTGGTAGGCAAATTGTTGAAGGGAATCCTGAGGGCCAGGATTTACATGGATTTGGAAAGGCAAGGACTGATTAGGGATAGTTAACATGGCTTTGTGTGTGGGAAATCATGTCACACCAACTTGATTCAGTTTTTTGAAGAAGTAGCGAAGAAAATTGATAAGGGCATAGCGGTAGATGTGATCTAAATGGACTTCAGTAAGGCATTCAACAAGATTTCTCATGGCAGACTGGTTAGCAAGGTTAGAACACACAGAATACAGAAAGAACTAGCTATTTGGATACAGAACTGGCTCAATGTAGAAGACAGATGGTGGTGGTAAAGGGTTGCCTTTCAGACTGGAGGCCTGAGATTAGCGGCGTGCCACAAGGATCAGGGCTGGGTCCACTGCTTTTTGTCAATTATATAAATGATTTGGATGTGAACATAGGAGGCATGGTTAGTAAGTTTGCAGATGATACTAAGATTGGAGGTGTAGTGGACAGGCAAGAAGGTTACCTCAGAGTACAACAGCATCTTGATCAGATGGGCCAATGGGCCGAGGAGCGGCAGATGGATTTTAATTTAGATAAACATGAGGTGCTGCATTTTGGAAAGGCAAATCAGGGCAGGACTTATACACTTAATGGTAATGTCCTGGGGAGTGTTGCTGAACAAAGAGACCTTGGCGTGCAGGTTCATAGTTCCTTGAAAGTGGAGTCGCAGGTAGATAGGATAGTGAAGAAGCTGTTTGGTATCCTTGCCTTTATTAGACAGTGCATTGAGTACAGGAGTTGGGAGGTCATGTTGCAGCTGTACAGGACATTGGTGAGGCCACTTTTGGAATACTGCGTCCAATTCTGGTCACTCTGCTGTAGGAAGGATGTTGTGAAACTTGAAAGGGCTCAGGAAAGATTTACAAGGATGTTGCCAGGGTTGGAGGTTGAGGGGTGACCTTATAGAGGGCATGGAGAGGGTAAATAGCCAAGGTCTTTTCCCTGTGGTGGGGGAGTCAAAAACTAGAGGGGCATAGGTTTAAGGTGAGAGGGGAAAGATTTAAAAGGGACCTAAGGGGCAACTTTTTCATGCAGAGGGTGATACATGTATGGAATGAGCTGCCAGAGGAAGTAGTGGAGGCTGGTACAATTATAACATTTAAAAGGCATCTGGATGGGTAGATGAATAGGAAGGGTTTAGAGGGATATGGAACAAATGCTGGCAATTGGGATTAGCTTAATTTAGGATACCTGGTCGAGCAGGACGAGTTCCACCGAAGGGT